CTTTTAATGGGGCTCAAACAAGGGCCTAATCTTGTAAACGGTGAACGTTTGCAGGAATGAATAGAATTGGATTATCTTTATGGTTTAATGTTCTACTTTCGCTTTTGAGGGATCTGATCATCTTATCGAATGTGTTGAGATGTAAACAGTGAGATTGCATTGCATAAATGACGATTGGTTTATTTTGTTATGATGCAAATGCCCTACTTTTTGCTTTTAGGGGAACTCATGGATTTCATTTGGAAAAAATAATTATCTTTACGATATTCCCTAATGTGACTCACAGGCTTCCCAATTCTGCTTGAGGGCAGGGCCCATAAACGTAATTAATTTGGGAAAAATTAACAGCTTGCTACACACACCTAAGACCTGCGCAAGAATTGCTGTATATTTTTTATGTGCAGTGAAATTATTTTCTGCTCGATTTTGCACTGTATTTAGCAAACCATATTTGGCATCAAGCTGTATTCACAAAATTCTGCACATTTTTATTGTGTAATAAAAGGATGAGTATGTATAGGTGCTAATATTTTGGATATGAAATGTGCCTAGCAAGGTTAAAACACATTGATGAGAAGGAAAATAAATAATCAGAAGTGTTTGGTTTTTAATCTGTTTTTTATATGTTGCTTACTTGTTTATGTGCTTGAAGTAAGTTTGTTAAGGTAAAAAATGATGGGCATCATATGGAAAGAGCTACTGTAGACTAATATAGTAACAATATGAAAAATGCTCAAGTTGTTGCAAAATTGGAATGGAGGAGGATTTGGAGAACATGCTGCTGATTGTCACGCATTAACAATTGAGGCATGCTTCATAAGGTGGACTTGACAGTATTAGATAGTATTAAAGTGGAACAAAACTTATAATCTTCGTTGTTATTGAAGTTGGAGTGTAGATTCGGTATCTGAAAGTGGTCAATTGTAGAAATGAAAATGTTGATCCATCTTAACTACACCAAGCTTCTGTTGGGGTGTGCCTGGTTTCTATAAGAGTGGAGATTATCAATTAATTTGAATTATTTTATCTTACTTAATAGAGAAACTCAGCTGTCATTTCTGTCATTACACTGTTAATTAACATCGACACATGTATTACTTGTGTAATTGCTTTTGGAGTTTTCAGTTATTGGTGATTAGTCTGTTTGACTGTGTTTAAGAGTTATTTTTCTAGAAAGTATGCTGAATTTACTTTTATGCACAACCACACATGCTTTTAACTTTAGTGTGTGAGATGACTCGAATCGACTCAAATCATCTAAGCCTTTTTCTCAAGTTCTGATAGTATTACTTTGTCAAATGAAAGTGTGCTTCTTTGAGGAAGTTGAGGTTCTCGGATTTCCATATTTTCTCCATATGAATGGAAATGTTTTTATAGCTAATTGTATAAAGCTACTTAACACTTATTTTCTCATTTTCTGGGCTCTATTTATTTTTTGATAAGAGTGCAAATTCTTATTTGCCTATACATTAAGTGCAGGTTTGTTATGTAGCATCGGATATTACTTGATTATACAATGATCTAGATTTAACCTTTATTTTTATTTATTTATTTATTTATTTATTATTATTATTATTATTATTATTATTATTTTTGGGTTCTGACCCTTATTATAAAACGTGCCATGAATCAGTTCGTGTTAGGGCTCTTACGCCAGTATGCAGAAATGCAAATAATTCGTGCGCACATTTGTGTGTAGCAATCCTATTTTCTACGGTATGGCTATGTTGGTTGCATGGTGAACTATTCGACGAATTATCAGTTAAAATTAGGGAACCAAGGTACTTTATGTGCGTCGAGTATGAGCTCTAGGACTCGTCTAATCTCACTTCTAACATGGCATCGAGGGTACGACCCTCATGTCAAATTTCATTCTTTAGATGATACAACAACTAATTCTTGCTCATGTTTAAAATCGATGAAATTTCGATTTGGAAATAAGTTGATTGAATAAACTATTTTAGTATTTGACATTTTAGGCTCATTTGGAAAGAATTTATAAATGTTTAAATTATGGATGGATGGAAATGAATGAATGATTAATAGATTGATAATAATTGTGAGTCCATTTAAATGTGGGCTAAGAATGGAGTTTGATTAATTGAGGTCAATTATAAGCCCCATTAATTTTATTTACATTACATTTCATTTTTCTCTCTCCAATTTTCAACTATACAATCTTCCATAATATTAATATTACACGCAAATCGAAAATTTTTCCTTCTTTTTCAATCACTTATTTTTCAAAAAAATACTATTTCATCCATTAAATTTTCCACATAATGGGGGCCAAACAGGGGCTAAATTGATTTATAAAGTTTGTCACAAAATGAGTGGTGACAAATAGGTAGTACTTTTCATACCATAATTTCAGTGGCGTAAAACTACGCTTATTGAACTAGTGTCAAAGATTACGTACAATGCTTAAACAAATATTCGCCCGTCTCATTTATGTAGGCTGATTTTGTTTTTTTTACACGGATTAGGAAATCTTATTTAATATTATTGAAAAAGTAATTTTTGTTAAAAACTTTTTAGTCTACCCTTACTTATCGTTGTATAATTTCAAGGTTAAGTGAAAAAATTTTGTTATAATTAAACAATTAAATAAGTGTATATTGATAAAATGAACAAAAAAAAATGTCCTCAATAAAAAAATATGATTATATAATTGGAACAAGCAAATAAGAAAAGTCAACTTAGGGTCCATTTGATTTCAAAGATGAAATTTGGGTGGAAAGAAAACGAATTTCAGGGAATTGAATTGTTTAGAAATTGTTTTCTTGGGAATTGTCAATTTATTGTGTTTGATTGGTATAATTTTTCAAGTGGAAAAATAGTTTTTTTGGTATTTGTTTGACTTTGTTTTACATGAAAATTATCAATTAAATAGATATAATTTATTGATATTGGGGATGAAATTTGTTTCTATTGCGAATAAAAAAATCAAGAAAATCATTATCTTTTGATGTTCGTTTGTCTTTATTTTATATGAAATTTGTCAATTAAAGGGAAATATTTTTTTATAATAATTCTTAAAATTTGTTTTCATTTCCAAAAAAAAAAAATGGAAAAAAAAATCGTTACAGTAAGATGGAAATCAAAAAGTTTGAAATTATCAACGTGGCCAAAGAAAGCTGAAAAGGTTTTTCATGGAAAATTTTTCCTATCAAAAATCACAAAAGTTAGAAAATCTTCATCATTTTCCATTTTCCATGAAAAATGGTAGACAATCAAATAAGGCCTCATATAAATAAGACGGAAAGAGTACATTTTAAATACAAATGTTACGATACTAATATATTGATACGTATGACAATGACACAATACAAATTAATAAATTGAATTTTCCAAATTTCTTTCTAAAATAGACAACGAAAATATTTCCACAAATCATTATTTATTATCCTCACATGGCCAGTAGTATCTGACTAGAAATTTCCTGAATTAGGTAAATCCTTCGATCTGTAACCACAGAAAGCCAACTACGAATGTCCACGTGGACCAAACCAAGAATTTTAAAATTTTTTCTTGTCTTTAATCTTAAACAGCGATAAAAAATAAAAAATAAAAAATAAAAACAATATTATGTCCTATAATCCCGTAGTTTTCTGCTTACAAAGTACAAACCCAGAAAACAACTTCTGAAATGGCTGGGTCCCTCCAACTTCCCATTATCGACCTCGCTTCCTCCGACTGCATCTCCACCTCTTCGTCAATTCGTCAGGTCTACTCTATTCCCACTGTTATTTGATGCATAAGCCTGTACATAAATTGATGTGCTATATGCAGTTTCCAATTTGTACTAGCTTTTTGTTTCTATTGGGCAATGTTTGTTTTGTGAAGGAATAAGAAAATTGGCTTCTTCACATAATAATACACGTTTTAAGCTTAGCCAAACATGCTGATTGAATTTGGTGTTCTATTTTAACCCCCTGTTTGATCCCAATCTTTTGAGAATAGATTTTGTGGAAAGTTGATTTTCCAGAGTATCTGTGGTCAAAAACTAAGGAAAAGTTTTGGATTTATTTGTAAAATTATTTTATTTGGAGAATGTATGATTGGAAATGAGTTTGAGGAAAAATTTCATTGGATACTATGTTGTGGTTAAAATGGTTTATTGATATCCCACATAATAGTTAGTATGTGTGAGAAATAACTGATATGTTGATAAAAAATAAAAAATACGAGTTATTAGCGCTCATGCAATGCTCAAAACTAAACAAGTACACCCTAAGGAGATGTTTATAGCTAAAATAAAAAATTTATGCATATGTACTTTATGCATAATTTTGTGCAATTACTTATCCCATGTATGGCTAATGTTTGAAATGATCATTCCTACTGCACATTTTGTTGGACCACAAGTACTATCCATTTATCCACCACTCATTTCTATCTATTTATAAATTATACATTTATATAAACTTCCCAAACAAGCATACATGTATGCGTGTATGTATAGGTTGCAGGATTTATTAATGAATGTTTTAGTATTTGAATATTTGCTTACAATAGATTGTATAATGTTGATGAAATACTATTCCTTTGAGAATGCTCATGCTGTACAAGTGTTCTGTCGTCTGTTTATGATAAGTGAATTTTCTCCTGAGGTTT